ATCTCAGCTCCAAAACAGCCTCTTCACATAGCAATAACAATGGCCAGGATGGAAGAAGCACCTATTGTGTGCCTAGGAGCAATGTCTTCATCTTCTTAATCCTCACAACAACCTTAAGACGAATTTGTCCATTTTTTCAACTGAGGAAACAGATTTTCAGAGAAGCCAAGTAAATGGCCTAATGTCATACACTTAATAAGTAGCACAGCTGGAGTTTAAACCCAGTTTTCTCTGACACCATTAGATTGTAATATGCTCTTTGTGCTAGTCTATGTTTCCTTCCCATCTCAAACCCATCTCAAGGCCACAAATATGTATTGAGCATCTATTCAATGCCCCATACAGCTAGGAGCTTCCAGTATTCATTCCCTGACTCCAGAACCCGAGAGGCACCCCCAGTAGGCACCCTGGCTCCGTCCCTCCATTTCTGCTTCCCTTTCTCAGAAGCTTCTACTTCCATGTATCCATCTCTCTTTCCTCTGCCCATCCCACCTCTGCCACCTCCCATTTACTTTTGTCCTCCATTCTAGGCCTGTGGCCAGCACTAAAGCAATATTCAAGGTGGGGCAGCAGCAGTGACTCATCCTATGTCATGACTTAAAAAGGGTGATGGCTGCCCCATCAGTTACCTGCAGTTATTCCTGACTCAATGGCAGATCACCCTGAGCCACAGTTCAGCATCCCCCAACCTCCTCTTTCAGGAAGAAACATGAAGGGACACAGCTGTATATATAGACATCTCTGGGGGTGAGTTTTTGTTCCTCAGAGGAGATGAATTCAAAGCTATTTATTTTATTAAGAGTATTTATTAAGCCCCTACTGTGTGTGCAAACGATTTGCACTAGACTACTAACATAAAGGTTGGCGGTTAGAACCCACCCAGTGGCACCTTGGAAGAAAGGCCTGGAGATCTGCTTTGGTGGTTAGAACCCACCCAGTGGCACCTTGGAAGAAAGGCCTGGAGATCTGCTTTGGTTACAATTACAGCCAAGAGGAATCTGGAGACTACTGCCCTGAGATAACTCTTTAAACCCTGAACCGAAACTATCCCCTGAAGTCACCTTTTAGCTAAACACCAGGTTAGCTCAAAAAGTAAAGACTGTTACTCTTGAGTACTGTGTGCTTTAAAAAAAATTATCTATATGAGACCAAATGGACAATAATTACTCTAAAGCATAGATGAGAAGATTGGGGAGCAGTGAGACTAAGTTAATGGGAATGGAAAAACTAAAACGGAAATGATGAGAATGTTGACACAATGTGGAGAATGTAACCAATGTCACTGAACATTATGTGTAGAAATTGTTGAATGGGAGCCTGTTTTGCTGTGTATACTTTCACCAAAAATACAACAGAGTATTTTTTAAAAAATGATTACAGCCAAGAAAACCCTATGGAGCAGTTCTACTCTGTAACACATGGGGTCGCCATGAATTGGAATCGACTCTGACAGTAACGGGTTTGGTTTTGGTTTTTTATACACCAGCCAAAGCACTGGAGATCAGACAGAGATACAAGGACAGGGACATAATGGAGAACAGGGCAGATGTGGTCCTATATACACATGCAGATTATATCCCAGTAGGGGAGATAAACGACAACAACAAAAAGTAAACACATAAAAAACTCCTTTTTGTGGTAAGTGCTATGAAGAAAACAAATGAGGGGTTGGGAAAGAGGTTAGTAGAAGACAGATAACAGATCAAAAAAGATAATAGATCAAAAGAGGGGATAAAGGACTTGAGGAGGGAGGGGAGAGGTGGGAATGCAAGGGGTTCAGACCTGTTTCTCTAGGATTGGGGCAGCCGGAACCGGTCTAGCTGCTGGTCTCAGCCCCTGGCACTTTCTGGCCTTAACTCATCCTCCAGCCCTCACCCCCTCATCTCCTCAGGGCTTAATGATTCACTTGCAATCTTTCCCTAGCTTCCTGTGTGGTGGCGAGGGGGTGGAGGCAGATCCCTAGGTCTCTGAGGGTAGCAGAAATGGGGATCAAGTAGGTTGAGAAGGAATGGCGAGGAGATCAGGTTCTCCAAGTCTTCTCTTTGTTCCATCTGGTCTGGCCACAAAGAAAGTTCTCTCTACACCAGGAGGACAGTGAGGATAACTAGGCCCAGCTGGACACCCAGATTCCAGATGTGGGAGGTAGTGTTGAAACAAGGTCCCAACATCCCCCTCTTCATTTCCCCTTCCCCTCCCCTGCCTAATGCCCTGAGAAATTTTCCATAATAAACAAGTTATGCATTCCTGTCCTTACGTGCCTCCTGCTCTTTCCCACCAAGCAATTTTCCTCCTCCATCATCACTACCGCCCCTTCTGCAATTGATGTTGGTGTCAGCATGTGGGTCTGGCCCCATGTGTGAATAGCTATGTATTGATGCTGGCATTTGTGGTATGCGAGTTGCCTTGGAATAAGGGTGTAAGGGGCAGTTCTTTGGGTGTAAATGTAAGGATAATGGCAGGTGTGAAAGGCAGGTGTCCAAAAGGGATGTCTTTGTAGAGAAAATGTGTTTTATACCTGTCAGGAAGAGTTGTATAAAAGGAAAGGGTTAAGACGAGAGTCATGGGTGTGCCATACAAGCCCAGGAAGCAATTGTATATACAGCAATAATGTAACTATTTACAGCCCAATTGTGGAGCTATCCCCTTAGTTTCATCCCCACCCATCCTGGTTGAAAAATGCCCTTATATGTTTCTGGTTTGGTGTTTATACAGGAATTGTCCCAACTTTCCTTAACCTGTTGCCATTGAATTGATTTCAACCCATGGCAACCCCATGTGTTACAGTGTAGAACTGCTCCATAGGGTTTTCTTGGCTGTAATGTTTACGGAGGCAGATCGCCAGGCCTTTCTTTCATAGAGCCGCTGATTGGGTTCAAACCACCAACCTTTAGGTTAGCAACGATCACATTTGTGCCACCCAGGCTCCTTCAGCTTTCGTTAAGTTGTTGTAAATTTGTACGTGCAATTTGGAGAAGTGTGCTCATGTCTCAAAAACCTGGAGTGACCCAGCCAGAGTGTGAATACTGTATGTGCATTTATAATTCTGCATTTTCATCTTTCATTTAACAAGATTACTGAACAACTACTCCATGCAAGACATCGTGCTGGGCTGTGTGGAGGACACAAAGACTGCACTACACAGCCTCTAACAGAAGAGATCGTACATGTATGAGTCCGAGCACCAGGCATAATACGTAGTGCGTTTCAAATCCTCATCTTTGGTCCCTTCTACTTCTTTCTGTCAGTGCCCCACGCTCCTCGCCCGTTGCTCCCTGCCCATAATAATACCTTATCCCATTGCTAAATTCTGGGGCTCAAATGGTTAAGCGTTCAGCTACTAACTGAAAGGTTGGCAGTTTGAATCCACCCAGAGGTGCCTCAGAAGAAAACCCTAGCAATCTATTTCAGAAAGATCATAGCCATTGAAAACCTATGGAGCACCGTTCTACTCTGACACACATGGGGTCAAACTGATCTGACAGCAACTGGTTTGGTTTTGGGGTTTATGCTAGAAATGTCTGTTCTAGCCACCCTTCCTCTTGGTTCCCTCTGCCATGGCCCACCTCAGGCCTCGTGACCTTCTACCTGAACCCGTCCAACAGCCTCCTGTCCCCTGCCTCAGTCTCTCCCTCCAGGACATGTTCCTCATCCCAGCCAGTACTAGGCTTGAATTGCCCTCCCTTACGGTAGCCTCTGGTCCACAAACTCCACCATCTGGAGTCAAACCCAGACTCCTGGTCTGGCAGCTAAACTTGCCCCACTTTGCTCAGTTCCTCTACAGCCATTATTACCAGCCCTGGTGGCACGGTTGTTAAGAGTTTGGCTGCTAACCAAAAGGTTGGCAGTTCAAATCCACTGGCCACTCCTTGGAAACCCTATGGGGCAGTTCTACCCTGTCTCATAGGGTCGCTATGAGTTGGAATTGACTCGACAGCAATGGGTTTAGTTTGGTTTTTACTCCTTTACGGGAAACTTACTCTGAGGTTATTTTTCTTGAGATTCCCCAAATACATCCTGTACTTTTCCAGTTCAAGGCCTTTGCTGATTCCATTCTTTTTTCACACAGTCATCCTCCACATCTGAATCTGTCATATCCCACTCACTGTTCAAGGTCATCTCAAATGCCACTCTTCCATGAAGCATTGCCTGACCAATTAGATGGTCAGCTTTCCTGTCCCCTCCTGCCTTCTAGTCCTTGTCCCTGGACTGTTGTGCCCCATTAGTCTTGTTTTGTTTTAGGGGGCTGTCTAATCTTTTAACACCTGACAGTTTAAAAAGTTTTTCACATAAATTTTATTTGATCTGTATAACAAGGGGCAAATCCATATAACAAGGGGTCTTTGTATTTTGAGGTCCTCTGCACCAGATTTTGTGTGAATATTTCTGCATACACTTAAGTGTGTAGCTTTGCTGTGTTGTCTCTGGTGAAGTGAAATCTCTGAATCTTTGCTCTGTGTGTGTGTGTGTGTGTGTGTGTGTGTGTGTGTGTTGTGTGCGTGATATGCGAATGCTGTGTGTGTGTGTGTGTGTGTGTGTGTGTGTGTGTGTGTGTGTGTCTAAGTGAGTGTTTTCATGTATGCTAAGGCCGGCAGGACTGTGACTGTGTGTGCTAGTGTGTTCATTTCTATCAGTCTCTTTAATTGTTTCTGTAATGACTTCCCTCCTGGGGTGTTTTTTTCTATGTGTACCTACAGGTGTGTGAATGTGCATGTGTCACTGTGACTCTTTGATTTTTTTGAGTCAGTACTGTAGCAAAACAGCAGGACCTCCTTCTGTAAGTCCTTCTGCCTCCCCCAGTGATGTGCCTGCCCTCGGGCCTGTAGCTGAGCCATCTCCTAAGCGTGTCTGTGGGCCCCTCTCCAGCTGTCACATGTCCCGACATGTGCCCGCAGCCTGGGATCTCTCCACCCCCACTCACAACTCAGACACCTACAACACGCACGCACACAACACACTCTAGCGCCTAGGGTTGCAGAGGCCAAGTCTCCACCCCCCTCTTTGCTTAATCGTTGGAATTTCCAGACACCTCCGGCCAACGGCTCCCCACCCCGGGGAGGAGGAATTGAGAAGGGCCCGCCCAATCTCTCTGCGGACATAACTACCCCCGCCAGGCTGCCTTGCCACACTCCGCCTTCTGCTCTGCTCAGCGAGACATGTGTCACTCCCGCAGCTCCCTGCCTACAATGACCGTCTTGCGAGCCCGGACGCCCCCCCCTTCCACTAGCCCGGGACCCCGGCGGGGGTCTGGTCCAGAGATCTTCACTTTCGACCCTCTCCCGGAGCCCGCGGTAGCCCCTGTCACGCGCTTCAGCGCCTCTCGCGGGCACCGCAAGCGCAGCCGCAGGGTCCTCTACCCCCGAGTGGTGAGTGTCGCTGAAGTGAGCAGCCGCGGGGCGCACCAACCTGACGCTGTGAGGGAACGGCCAGACGTCGGGGGCTCTGACCTGATCTGTCCCCTTTCTTCTCTCCCCTCAGGTCCGGCGCCAGCTGCCACCCGAGGAACCAAACCATGCCAAAAGGCTTCTCTTCCTGCTACTCGCCATCATCTTCTGCCAGATCCTGATGGCCGAAGAAGGGGTGCCGGTGACCCTGACCCTGGAGGACGCCCCCAGCGACGCTTCCCCCGCGCCCATCCCTGCGCCCCCAGTTTTCGAGCCGTTTAATCTGACCTCAGAGTCCTCGGACTACGCTCTGGACCTCAGTACTTTTCTCCAGCAACACCCGGCGGCCTTCTGACAGTGACTTGATACCCCTTACCACCAAAAATAAGAATCTGAAAAACCAGAGAAACACCAGGCGTACCTGGGGCGCTAGGCCGTATCCCAAAATGGGACTTCTGAGGCAACTCAAACTCAGAACACTACAGTGGAGAAGCCAGCTGGTGCCCGGGGGAGACTTGAGTATGGACTCCCCCGGATCTAGCCCGGTGGGGAAAGAGAGCGTCTTTTATTTATCATTGCTCCTAATTAATATTTATATGTATTTATGTATGTCCCCCTAGGTGATGGAGGGGTGTATGTGATATTTATTTTAACTTATGCAGAGTACGAGATATGCCCCCCTGCTCGAATTGCAAATCTCTAGGTATTTATTGAGCTTTGTGGGATTGGGAGACAGGGCGCCTAGGACTCAGGGAGACTAGAGGAGGGAGTGGAGAGGACTCGGCGCCCAGGCTGGGAGTCAAGGATGATGGTAGGTTGTAGGTTTAGGGGGTGACACTCTTCGTCCTCCAACATCACAACTCCTCGGGGCCTACTGTGTGAGGCTCCGGTGGACTGTTGGGGATGAGGTCCGTGGCCTTCGATCTCCCCTAAGCTGCCCCTAAGGGGTGGCTGCGGGGTCGGCAGTCAGTGGGCTTCAGGGGGCGGCTGTTGGGGTCGCCCAGTATGTTCTGTGAACACAAATAAACTTGATTTACTCTCAGCAGTCATTTGCGTGTGTCTTTGCGAGCGGCGATTCTCCACTCCCTCCTCGCCTTCGGGCGCTAAAGACCTGTGCGAAGGGCCGTGGCCACGTCCCCAGCCCGCGCTCCTCCTCGGGCCAGGGAGTCCCGGAGCCCGGCATCCGGTCGCCGGATGCTGTCGCGGGTGGCCCAGTGTGCAGTTTCCTCAGTCAGTTACCGCGGGCAAATCCAAGATGAAGCAAGCCTCCCAGCCCGGACGCCTGACGCTTCGACCCATGAACGTCACATCGCGCCCCCCTGGACGGAGCCGGGAGGAACCTGAGCGGGACTCGGCTCAGGAAGGACTGCGGTGGGGGCAATGGGGCAGCGGGCTCCACCCCCGGCTCACAGGCAGTCTCCTCCCCCTTCATCCTCCCCTCCCCAAGGCCTGGCGGGCTGCGGACCCGAGCGACGCCTGCTGGGAAGGGGCGGTGCGAGAACCGGGCCCAGGCCAGTCGGTTGGTCCACCGCTGGGGTCGGGTCGTGTCTGCCGCAGCAACAGGGTGCGGCCGACGGGGTGCGCGGCTGCGGCTGGGGCCCAGCTTCTAGCAATACTACGCGCTAGCTTACCCTTTTCGGCTCCCGGGGCGCTCTGCGCACCCTTGCCCTTCCCGAGACCCGTGCTGGCCGCTGGCCGCTACCCGCTTCCGGGGAGGTGAGTGGGGGAGGGGAGGAGGAGTCTGGGGCTGCGGAGGAGCTCAGAGGGAAGGAAACGGTCTGGCAGGGTCCCCATGCGCGGAAGAACCTTATGCGATTGAGAGGAAACGTCCGCACCGGGGGTGGGGACGCGGAGAGGGGAAGGGAGTGGCTGGCAGTAGGCGGGACAGTGGGTCGTTGGGGGGTCCGTGGGATTGCACGGGGGGCACCTTAGCGGGTCCACGGGTACGGAAGGGACTGGGCAGCGGTGGATGCCGACTGGGCGAGGATGACGGGAAGGAAAAGGACTGATTCCAGCGGACGCCACAGCGCCCCTTCACCACCTGCAGATCCTTTCTCTCCCTTTCCTCTGGCTCCGCCCTGAACCATGTTTTTCACCTGTGGCCCAAATGAGGCCATGGTGGTCTCCGGTAAGTATTGTTCTTCCCTAGCCCATAACCCCAAAACTCCTATGCATCTGGCCTCTCCCCCTTACACCCTTTCCCTTCTAGCTCCCTAGACCAAGCCTTCTGCCTCCTGATGGCAGCTCTCCACACTCACTTGTCATTCCCAGCCACTACGCTTACAGACCTGGACTGCCCCCCTCGTCTCCCAGTTTCCCTCTAATGGATTCCTTAGAATCTTCCGCATCCCAGCTCTCCCACGTCCACAACGAGCACTCACTGCTCCTCATCTTGCAGGTTTCTGTCGAAGCCCCCCTGTCATGGTGGCGGGAGGACGCGTCTTTGTCCTGCCCTGCATCCAGCAAATCCAGAGGTAGGTAGGAAGAGAAGCAGGGAAGCGGAACCTCCATTTTTCTCTCTCTCTTCCTTTTCTCACTGTCTGTACCTTCTTTTTCCCCTAGGATCTCTCTCAACACACTGACCCTCAATGTGAAGAGTGAAAAGGTTTACACTCGCCACGGGGTCCCCATCTCAGTCACTGGCATTGCCCAGGTGAGGCTTTCAGAGCCTTTCCCCCAAAGCCCACTCCCCCAGTACCTTTTCTTTCCTGGACATTGAGAGTCTTCTGATCTTGACCTTGCCAACCCTTGCCTGAAGAGAAATTTCTCTGCTACTCTCCCCTTCTCCAGGCACACCCAAGGCACTTGACTCCTCCTCCCTTCTATCTCTGAGATGGAAGAGGCTTTCTTTAGAGGGCTTCTCTCCCTGCATCCTCCCTGCCTTCATAAGACCTCCACCACAACCTCCCTACACTCACTCTGGTTACAGGTGAAAATTCAGGGGCAAAACAAGGAGATGTTGGCGGCTGCCTGCCAGATGTTCCTGGGGAAGACCGAGGCTGAGATTGCCCATATTGCACTGGAGACGCTGGAGGGCCACCAGAGAGCCATCATGGCCCACATGACTGTGGAGGTGGGCCTGGGGGCTGGGGCCTGAGGCTAGGAAAAGGTCTGGAAGGGATGCCAGAATGAGTGGGTCCCAAGGACCAAATGAGTCTGTCTCTAGGAGACAGTGGCCAGAGGATCTGAGAGCTTAAGTTCCTCCTTCCCACCGTCCTGTTATCCTAGGAGATCTATAAGGACAGGCAGAAATTCTCAGAGCAAGTTTTCAAAGTGGCCTCTTCAGACCTGGTCAACATGGGCATCAGTGTGGTTAGCTACACTCTGAAGGACATTCATGATGAGCAGGTAAACCAAGGCAGTTGATCTTCGTGCGTCCCTACTCCCATCTCTTAAACCCTCCCGGGACTCTGATTTCTGCATCTCTCCCACAGGACTATTTGCACTCGTTGGGGAAGGCTCGAACTGCCCAGGTCCAAAAAGATGCTCGAATTGGGGAAGCTGAGGCTAAGAGAGATGCTGGGATCCGGGTGAGAGACATGAGGTCATTCCATCACCATGGGCTTATTGGGCACCAGTGGGAGAGGGGTATAGTAGTGGCACAACTGAGTAGGGGCTGGTGGAGCTGAGCTCACAGTGGATATAGATGAGGCCAGAGTTGGGACGAGCAGAGTAGCCTGGTGGTGAGCCTTCCTCTCCTTACCCTGACTTTTCCTACTTGATCTCCCTGCCTGGACAGGAGGCCAAAGCCAAGCAGGAAAAGGTGTCTGCCCAGTACCTGAGTGAGATTGAGATGGCCAAGGCCCAGAGGGACTACGAGCTGAAGAAGGCTGCTTACGACATCGAGGTCAACACCCGCCGAGCACAAGCTGACCTGGCCTATCAGCTTCAGGTCAGACCTACCATACTGGGCAGATGGCCAGGCTAGACTTGCCCCTTCCCCATTTCTCTCGGGCCCCTGCTATTGCTTATATTCTCTGATCCCCTTTTTCCTGGCTCTCTGTTTCTGACCCAGTTTCCTCTTATGAGAAGAGATCTAAAAGACCCAAACATTTCAGCTGAAAAAAAAAAGTCCAAGAAGGGATATGATTAATAACCAAAAAAAAAAAAAACCTGTTGCCATCAAGTTGATTCTGACTCAGCGACCCTATAGGACAGAGTAGAAGTGCCCCATAGGGTTTCCAAGGCTGTAATCTTCACAGAAGCAGACTGCCACATCTTTTTCCCATTGAGCAGCTGGTGGGTTCACACCGCCAACCTCTCAGTTAGCAGTTGCATGCTTGATCACTTGCCACCAGGGCTTCTTATAAGATCAGTAGGGCTGATGCATATGTTTGGGGCAAATTGTTCCATGCGCAAGGGCACCTGGATGAAGGGGTGAACCAGAGCTGAAATCCAGCCAGTGCTCCCCTTGCCAGGCTGTGCACTCTGACATGGGCTGCGTCCACCCAGAGGAAGGGGTGCCTTTTTCTAATTTGTGCAAAGACACCTTATGGTTTAGCACCAGCCCTGGTGATCACAGAAGGGTGTGAGGAAGGAAAACATAGATGTGGGCATTGAATCCTGCAAAGTGAGGTATGGGCAGCCCCTGATACTGCAAGGAGGGACTTGGAGAACTTTACCCAAAACCAAACCAGTTACTGTCGAGTCTATTCCAACTCATGTGACCTCGGGTGTGCAGAGCAGAACTGCTCCATACCGTTTTCAAGGCTGTAATCTTTAGGAAGCAGATCACCAGCCCTTTCTTCCAAGGTGCCTCTGTGGGTTTGAACCGCCAGTCTTTCAGTCAGGAGTCAAGCCCTTAACTGTTTGCACTACCCAAAGCATAATAATATTATGAAATTTGTTTTTGCCAAGAGTTGGTACAAGTTGAAAGCATAATGTGGTTCAAAACAGCTTTAGTTATGATGCAGAATTCTTGGGTGGCTTGATAGGTAATTGAGTGTGGCATAGCACCCTGTTACTCGTCACCACCGGGGAGCTTGTTAGAAATACCAAGACTCAGGCCCCAGCCCAGAGCTACTGGATCAGAATCTGCATTTTTGCAAAATCCCTAGATGATTCATGTGCACATTGAAGTTTGAGAAGCATTAGCATAGTGGACACCACTAGCTTGCTGTGAGACTATAGATAAAGCCCTTACTGAACATGGCTTTCCCTGTGTGCAAAATCAAGGGATCAGGCTGCTTTGGGCTCTGTTCGACTTTTATCAGTTTCTCACATGCGGCAAGCACATGTGCTAGGTGCTCAGGAAATAAGAATTCATTCAACAAATATCTTTTAAGTGCCGACTATGTGCCAGACATTGTTTTGGAGGTGAAGAAATAGGTATGAATAAGAAAAGGCGCCTGCCTTCATGGAGCTTACATTGTAACACGGGAAATAGTTAATAAGCAAGTAAAATAACCATCACAGGCTATAATTATCTTAAATGTTTAAGTTCTGCAAAGGAGGTAAACAGGGTGATGTGAAAAACAAGGAGGGGGCTGTATTAGATTTGGGGAAGGAGGCCAGAGATAGCTTCTGAGAGGAAGTGATGTTTGAGATGAAACCTGAAGATGACAAAGAGCCAGAGATGTAAAGAGTTATAAGCCAAGAGCATTCTAGGCCAGTGCTGTCCAAATAGAATTTTCTGTGATGATGGAAACGTTCTCTATCTGTGCTGTGATGTTGGGCACCTGAAATGCAGTTGGTGTGTCTGAAAAACTGATTTTTTAATTTTATTTTGTTTTAATCGATTTGAATAGCTATATGTGGCTAGTAAGGAGCCCTGGTGGCACAGTGGTTAGGTGCTTGGCTGCTCACTGAAAGTTCAGTGGTTCGAACCCACCAGCCACTCTGTGGGAGAAAGATGTGGCAATCTGCTTCTGTAAAGATTTACAGCCTTTGAAACCCTATGGGGCAGTCGTAACCTGTCCTATAAGGTTGTTGTGAGTCGGAATCGACGGCAGTGGGTTTGGTTTTGATTGGTATGTGGCTAGTGACTAGGCAGAGGGACTAGCAAGTGCAAAGGCCCTGGGGTAGAAAAGAGCTTGGCATATCCTAGGAATAGAAAGGAGGTTTCTGATTTGGTGTGGCTGGTGTGCTGTGATTGTGAAGGAGAAGCAGGCAGGGCCAGATCATGCAGGGTGTAGGTGGCCATGATGGAGACTTCGAGGAGAATTTTAAGCAGGGGTATGTTGTGGTCTAATCTATGTTTTTATAATAATCCTCTGGTTGTGGTGGGTAAAATGGACTGTAAAAGGGAAGAGAGGAAGTAGGGAGATGAGTTGGTAGCATTTTCAAAGATGATGTATTGAATATATGCAGCTAATTGCACTCACTCTTTAAAACTTCACTAAAACCACATAGAGCGATTTGTTGTTGTTGTTAGGTGCTGTCGAGTCTGGTCCAACTCATAGCGACCCTATGTGCAACAGAATGAAACACTGTCTAGTCCTGTGGCATTCTCACAGTCGTTGTTATGCTTGAGCCTGTTGTCGCAGCCACTGTGTCAGTCCATCTCATTGAGGGTCTTCCTCTTTCTCGCTGACCCTCTACCTTACCAAGCATGATGTCCTTCAGAGACTGGTCTCTCCTGATAACATGTCCAAAGTACATCATCCTTTCTTTTAAGGAGCATTCTGGCTGTACTTCTTCCAATTTGTTTCTTCTTCTGGCAGTCGATTGTATATTCAGTATTCTTTGCTAACACCATAATTCAAAGCGTCAGTTCTTCTTCAGTCTTCCTTATTCATTGTCTAGCTTTCACATGCATATGAGGTGATTGAGAAAAGAGAAAAAAAAAAGACAAACATAAAGATGGGGAGAATGGGAACAAAATCACAGCATCATTTGGAAGCTGGAAAGCAGTGGTAATTGACCAAGCAGGTCTGAGACAGCTGAACTCTAAGCCTGCAGGGGCAAATGATGAAATGACCTGAGATTAGGGACTGGCAGCACCAGGTGCCTCTGGATCTGTGGTGAAGACTCTGGTGAAATAAGGAGGAATTGGTGAAAAGTGACTTCTCAGTTAGATCCCTTCTCTAGCTCCCTGCCTCTGGGTAGTGGTCATTCCCCTGGCTCAGCAGACACCTGAAGGTTTATTATCTGAAGAAAGTAAACCAGAGGCTATGATCTAAGGCTGGCCAGGCGCAGGTGAAAGCCTGAGTAACAGGGGCATGAAGTGACTGTATGCCTATTAAATGCTAAATGATGACAGCTTCCCCAGCCCCCTCATCCCACTCAGCTCCCAGAACCTGTATCCTCCAAACATAAGATCACCCTAAAGTGAAGCTCAAAATCAACAAGCCCCACGTACATACCCAGAACTTCATCTCAGTGCTTTGGTCCTTTTAACTGTGAGTAGAGAAGCCTGGGTGGTGTTAGCTGTTTGCAATCAGCTGCTAACCTAACGGTTGGCCTTTCAAACCCACCCAGATCCTTCACAGAAGAAAGGCCTGGTAAACTGCTTCTGCAGAGATTACAACCAAGAAAACCCTATGAAGCAGTTTTACTCTGTAACACATGGGGTCACCATGAGTCAGAATCAACTCGATGGCAACAAGTTAACTGAGCAGACAAGCAAGGACTACCTGATATATGAGAGAATCATTCAACATGAAAGACTGAGCCAAAACCACAAACAGAGCAAAGCAATTTGAAGGATACATATTATGCAGACAGAAGAAAGCTTTTAAAAAATTGATATCTTCAGTGAAACAAAAGAAGAGTTCACATCCAGGAAATCAGGACATAGAACAGAACACAAAAAAAGAGCTCTTAGAAGTTATCAAGATGGGAGAAAATTTTAAAAAAGCACATTGGAAGAAAAATTCTAATAAATCTCCCAGAAAATAAAGCAAAAAGGCAGACGGAAAAATTAGGAAGCTAAGAATATTAGAGACCAGTTCAGAGTATCTCATTGTCATGGTTTGAATTAAGTCCCCCCAAAAA